AAAGAGATTGCTGCTACTTACAAACCTTCTGATTTCCTCCCACAACAACTTGCACTCCATTGCACGATCATGGTTGGGATTTTTTTGAGACTGAAAAAAATTATTATCCTAAATATGAATATTACAGTACGACTATGAGCTCACCTTGAGTTCTCTGAGAAACGCCTTTCTTTGTCCTATCCTATAGTAAGCAACTGTTCTTTTACTTTCTTTGTTACCTTGAAAGGTGATTCTAGGTATTCTATTCTAGGAGTCAGCAAAAGATCATATAGTTTTACTATACCTGTATCGTAATCTTCTTCTTAGGTTTGAAAGTGTTCTTTGCAGCACTAGTATTTTCTTGAACATTTTCTTTCTCTTCATTGTGATCCACTGTTGTTGCAGCAGGTGCAGGAGTATCAGCCTTATCAGGAACTTGGACCTAAACCATTGTGATGCAGCACTTAAGAATGTTATGTATGAATGAGCGGTCGGACTTGGGTTTTACCTTTTCTTCTTCTTCTTGAGCGCAGCTTTTTTCGGCTTGACTCGCAGTATGCCCTTCCCTGGAGACGCTGATGACGGCTTGATTTCAAGATCTTTCACGTTCTTATCGAACACCTTGACCCGTTCCATATTTCCGCTGAATGATACCTTAACGAGTGACATTTAGTGGATATGTTTACTTCCGACAATTTCTAACAAATATATCAGTTACCCTTTTATCCTTTGGCTTTTTTGAGGGTGCACTCGGTGATGAAGGGTCAACATTAATGGTTTCGTCCACGTCTTCTTTTTCTGATAGTCGTAGCTTGCTCATTTCAGCCTTCACACTTTCGTTAAGTTCACTTTTAAACTTCATCTTCTCCTCAAGCTGAAAAAACAACAAGTTCTTGAAAAGTATTGGTATCCGTAAAAAATAGACTTGGAACAACCGGAAGCGTTCTTCTGTAGAGCACAAGATAGCTTAGAACGCTTACCTTCAACAGTCGTCTCCTGTCGACTTGATTCAACTTCAAGCCTTTAGCCTTCTTCTCCAATAGATTTTTCACCTTTTTCTTTCCTTTCATTTTCTTTTTCCTGTCCATTCGTGCACCAAGCGCTGCCATTGTGGCACCTAAACAAGAATACAAT